CGAGTCGTTCTCTTCCCGACATGTGACTCAACTATATTTAAAGATTTACAAAAGGAGGTTTACCCTGTTTGACACACTGGTCGGTCATAGGCCATTTACTCCAGCCTATATGCATGTGGGAAATTAACATGGCACGTGCCGACCGGCATGCCATTATGCAATATGAAGAAATGGGACAGATCTGAATCTGCTTTTGGACAGGAATACATCTTTTTACAATGCAGTAACAAGTACCTTATAATAATGGTGTTAAGAATGTGCGAATATAGTGGACATCACAAACTAGAAATATTCTGTCTAATGAAACAGACGAAATGATGATGATTTCAGCAAGCACATAGACATGTTTTGCGTTCATGACGGGTCGTAATAATTAAGAACTGGGCTCTTTAGGATCAAGCAAAACAACGGTGATGCATAAGGCTCGAAAATTCATGGACATCAACGGTTAGCCCATAATTAATGCTACGCACACTAGAAGGGCAATTTGAATTTGCGCGTTGGTTCCCATCGCCTGGACTCCGTAATGACGAATGATGATTGGGGCGGTGATAGCGATGAGGCGCAGGGTGACGGATATGATAATCGTGATCGTAATGATGACTATTACGGTAAAGATAGTGCTTGATATCTCTCGACTATATGAATGCTGAACCTAACCGTGATTGTTTGGTTGGAATTACAGATAGTAGTTTGATTTGTCTTCTGTTGGTGTAGCTACCGCTGCTGATGCTGTTGGCAGGTTATCTGCATCTCCAACTGACAAATGATTCACACGAACGTCCTTGTAATTACTTCGAAGAGTATTCTTTCACTAAGCTGTTGATCGTTTGCCATAAAGATGACTTGGATTATCCGGTTGTCGGTACTGTCTTTAAATTTCTTGATTCATGACTTCATAATGAGACCCAAAGGGAAGATGTCCTAGATATCTGTTCTTTAATAGTTGTCCACGGTAAGCGTGACATAATTCGTACAGCCCATGCTGAATTCGATTATTCTCCTTAATTTAGGTTGCCATTCGATTCATTTGTGCTGTTAATAATAGCCAGACTGTCGGAGAAGCAATCCGGGTTGAGCCAAAGCTCATTTTTACTCGGGACAGTCCGGTGTATTATGTAGAGTGCGATGTATTAAGTAATTTTT